TTTAAAAAACCCCCCCCTCAGTTTTGGACCCCTGGCCGGAGGTTTTTAAAAAAAAAAAAAAAAAAAAAGAAACGTCTAGGATTCTCTATTTCCTCGGACAAACAAAAATCTGTCTAATAATGTGCTTTAATTGTCCATAAATCAGAGCACAATACAATAAGAAAAAGAACCCACCAAAAATTGAAAAAGGAGTATAAAATAAATAAAATAAGAAAATGTATCCACTAAATGACGTAGGAGTTTTAGACTCGGAAATTGCCGAACTCCTTTGACATGTAGCAGAAAAAAATGAGTTACTGTGCTGATGCCGAACAAAGCACAACATTAATGAAATGCAACAAAAAAAAAAAACAACACAGCAATTTCAGAGGAGACAAAAACACCCTGCAGTTAAAATATGGTAATTTACTGAACAATTTGCAAAACAGAGTAACAATGGAGAAGCAACACAATTAGAGAAAATAAAACAATAATAAACTTGTTAATCAAAAGGAGGTGCTTTAGTTAACCAAATAAATAAATGGAAAAATTAAGAATTTGATGAAATATCCATCCATCCATTTTCTTTACACCCTTGTCCCTTAGTGGGGTCGGGAGGGTCGCTGGTGCCCATCTTCAGCTAACGTTCCGGGCGAGAGGCGGGGTCACCCTGGACAGGTCGCCAGTCTGTCGCAGGGCAACACAGAGACAAACAAACATGCACACACACACTCACACCTAGGGGCAATTTGAAGAGGCCAATTAACCTGACAGTCATGTTTTTGGACTGTGGGAGGAAACCGGAGTACCCGGAGAAAACCCACGCATGCACAGGGAGAACATGCAAACTCCATGCAGAAAGACCGGGGCCGGGAATCAAATCTTCTTGCTGCAAGGCAACTGCACCACTGTGCAGCCCATTTGAAGAAATAATACCACTAAAATAAAAGTACGGTAGTTAACTTTGTGGAAGACAGTTTACTAAGCAGCAGTAACATTTCTCTGAAGGATGCTGTTCATTTTTGCAATTCTGTTCTTTTTCACTTCTTAAAATTTGTATCCAACTTTTATAGATTTGATTTTGGCTTTTGTTTTCTCCATACCTTTCTTACCCTTTATTTTTAAAAATACACTTGTGCTCCCTTTAACACATCTGAACAGTCTAAGCTGATTTTTTCTACCTTTTGCCCATATTCTGCTGTAAGGACATGTAGCTATGTGATTCCAGTAAATAATTTATACCACCAGGATGACCCCTGATCTTTTCTTGCATTGGTCAGTATTTATAATCTCTCATTTTTTAATGAAATTTTTACTGGCCCCAAACAAAAGGCAGAACCACAATAAAAGGAAATAAGACTGTTATGCTAATATTTGAGCATCTCATGATTCTTTTTTTCCCCCTATAATATATCAAAATTCTCAATTACCAAGATAAATAAGCTGATTTGATGCACTGATTTTGTGTAGGTGGAGGAATGACTTTACTCATGGGTCTCATTCTGGATAAAATAGTAATAACTAAACCAACAAGAAAATTATGCTGTTCCCTTTGCACCTTTGTTATTTCCTGTAATTCTGGTTACGTCACACTTGAAACACCATGAGGCTTTTTGTACCAACTGTGTGCCACTTTGCTGTCAGTTAAAATAATTACATTTATTCCAATCGTAGCTCAAATTTTAGTTCCTGTTTTACTACGCGAAAATGTGGTATCAAGACTCCAATACATAATAACAAGGAAGTTGCCTAAAGTTGCTTTTTGGTTTGATTTGGGAGGGATCTAAAGAATCAGAGACTCAAAGTCGCATCCAGTGGAAACAATGCGTTACGTTTTCAGAAAATACCGTTTTGAGAAAATATCATTTTGTGGAATATTTTAAGCATCTTATGAATACTAACCACTATAGAAATACTTGATTACAAAAATAGACAATGAGCTAAGTAAACTCAAGTGATTTACAAGTGAATTGACAAAATGCCAATATGAGGAGCACAGATGAATGAAGGGTCGACCTGGAGCCCAAGAAAACACAAATATCCATGAAAAACTGTCACATTAAGTAGAGATTTTTTTTTTTAATTGCTGTGTTTAATGTTATTTTTGCACCTCAGGGGAAGTGCAGGTCCAAGACAGCTGCTGTAAAGTCTGTTAACGATGCCATGTGGTATCGGAAAATGGCTCATTCCATGCTGATTGTACTAAACACGCGGCTCTGATTTACTGTTTTTCTGTGCATTTACTTGATTACCTTTTAAACTGAATTTAGCTGGCAGCTCAGTGTTGTTTATAGACACACACACACACACACACACACACACAGCTTAGCTATTACCAACACAGAAGATCTCCTTTCAGTTACTGATGTATCATTCTTTCTTTTTTCCTTTTTCTCGTATGTTTCGCACCTCCACATGGTTCTGCCGATTCATCTGTCTGCCTCCCACTACTCTGGCTCTTATCCCTTGTACTGCTCTTTTGTTTCATCATCCCCTTCTTTTTTCATCAGCCACAGCGGAGTCCCGAAAGCAAACGAGGATGATTGAATCAGTTTGTCCTCCATCTGTCTGTCTGCAGGTCTAAGAAAAGGGAGCGCGGCGTGTTCGCAATCAGGGAAGCTCCTTCTCGTGCTGTGTGCTCGATCGTGCCGCCGCCCCTCACAGACACGCAGACTTTCCTGCTCGCATCAACACACACGCAGAGACCAAAACACCTTGATTATCGTCTTGCAAGGAGATTTTCATGAGTGGGAGTAATGAGAGGAGACTCCGTAGGAAATCCCTCTTGATCAGGAATTCATTTCGGCTTCCCGAATGAAAGAATTAATGTAGGTTCCTGTGGAAGTGCAGTGTCATGTAAAAAACACGGGGCCCTCAGTGAAAGCCTTTGTGTTTTTTACATCACAGAGATTTAAATCATGTTATAATGATATTCCTTCATGAAAAGCATACCCGGAGAGTTGCTTCGATTCTTTCACGTTTGTTCGAGAAATCCTTGGATCTCCCATGGCAACCATTCCGGGTTGCCTAAATGCTAGGTCTCACAAGTTTCCACAAAGCTCTTCCTTGGAGCTGCAGTCTTCAAGCTGCGCTTCCGCCGCCCCGTGCCTTCCCCACTCAGCTCCTCCAGACTATCCAGCAGCAATTAGCAAACATCTAGTGGGACTGCAAGTCTTCTGAGCTTGTTACAGGAACTACTTCTCAGTCCAACACTCCTAGGAAGTTGTAAACAGCATCATGGAAAGGTTGTGATGATGTGCTGAAGGCGGAGTGTCAGAAGGAGTAGGAGCTTCTTAAAGAGACAGAGGTCAATTTCAATTCGTCAAGGCGAAGTCAAGCTACCTTTAAGTCATGTCTGATATGTACAACATTTTTATGACAACTGAAAGTAACATAGTTACTTGCTCACACACGGGTCTACCGCATCACGTCCACATAATGAGAACATTGTTACTCAACATTTTGAAATAAATTTCTAAGTAAGTAGAAATCAAGCACAGAAAGTAATCTAAAACTCAATGGTACATTGTGGATTTTCTGTTCTGCTTGCTCGGGCTGAATATTAATGAAACTGAATGGATATTAAATGCTATTGAGTATGTCATTAAAATAATTTTAAAAAACTGACCAGTAAAAATAGAATGACTGTCAAATCAACAAGCAATAAAAAAGCCTAGCGCACCCTGAGCAAGGGAACTGACGGAAGGAGACTAATAAACACAGGGAAGACTGAGGGAGCTGAACCAAAACACAAACTGAATGACAAGATGAGAGGGAGACAGCTGAGACTAACCTCAGAAAATAAACCAAAATGCCGAGGAAAGTCAAATTAAAGTGTGGACAGAGCCTGATTACTATAATAAGTCATAGAATATGGCAAGACCTTACGGACAATAATAAACAACACAGTTGTAGTCGACTGTGACATGTAGGGAACAAGAAAACTCCACCGTTTGCTTTCTCTGATTTCTCTCTTTGGAAAACATGCATTTTTTATCCCTAATTATATCATCTAAGTCAGCTTCCTGTGTGTATTTGGCCACAATGAGGTTTTTTTTTACCTAATAAAATATTCAGAGCTAATCTTTCAAAGCTACCAAAGCACCAAAAAAAAAGCTAAAAAAAAATAAATAAAAAAAAAAAAAAGCAACGGATTCAACAAGAACGGGACCTGGGAGATAGGTTTATCTTCTATTGTGTCTGGGGAAACTGGCTTGAGCTATTTAAAGGCTCAGCCTCTCTCTGGCGACTTCCAGCTGTAGACAGTCTCATTAGTACGTACAAGAATGTATAGAACTGTTGTTTTGTGCACACACGCACACACACACACATGCTGTAGATCCATTCAGAAAGTAACCAGAGATGGTGTTTATTAGTGCTAACAAGGATGTTCTTCCATTTCAGCTGCTCTCTTCTGGTGTCTCCTGGACATTGTGCCCATTAAGAATGAGAAGGGTGACGTGGTGCTGTTCCTGGCCTCGTTTAAGGACATCACCGACACTAAAGCCAAAGCCATCCAAGAGGACAAGAAAGAAGGTAGACATAAGCTTCAGTGCTGAAACTGTTAATTCTAGTTTTCCCATTTTCCACACAAAATATATAAATATATGCACTAAATAAAATGGGCTACAGTTATATACAGCAAATAGTGTGCAGTCATGGAATGTTTTTTTTTTTTTTTTTTTTTTTTTTTTAA